ATAGCTCAGGTAGCGACTCATACTTTCCGCAATCATGCTTTGTTCACGGCCCACGGATTCATCATAATGTTCTGGTTTGTCCACGGATCCACTCTTGTACTTGCCATAGAAGAGCTTATCACCTTCAGCTAGAACATCTTTGTGCAAGTCATCCACTTGAATGCAATGGATGGGTGACTCAGACTTTTCACTAGGGAATCGAACATACAGCGCAGAGAGGCCAAAGACGAAGACTACAGTCCGTCTGAGCATTGCCATGATGTCACTGATGTCTGCAGGCTTATCGCCAGGGAAAGTGCGATGAACCAGTTTCATGAACTCCTCCATGGTGATGTCAATGCGCTCATCATTTTTTTGGTTCATCGTCCTTCTGGATATCGTCGCTGGCATAAGCCCTACAACAGTTCTTAGCAAGCTTCACATCGTTGTACCGTCCTTGGCACCTTTGGCTCTCTTCAATCTTGTCTCGATAGGGATCGTCCAAGAAGACACCTTCGCGCACTTGTCTGACCCTGTGCCTGAAGTTGTCCAAAGACTTGGCCCGTCGCCGCCCAGGGAGAGTTGGTAGGTCGAGCTTTTCCTTGTGGTACCGACCCATGGCGAGCGTCATAATGATGATGGCGGGGGTCTTGCCAACGCCTGGCCAACCAAGGAACATGAAGGCATAGTTCAAGAAGAGAGGGTACAAGAGCGGCAGCAAAGTCTTCGCCAAGAAGGGCTTCAAGGAAAAAGTTTGTATTGGAAAGTCGTGCTCGAGTCCGGCGCCAGCAGATCCTTTCGATTTGTTTTGGGCCATCGCTCGCACCTTTGCTTCGGGCCACCCAGAAATTGGAGTCCCTGCTCAATAATACTGTTGGTTTTGGGAATCGCGCTCAGCGCATTGTCGTTGATGTACTGAATGCCTGCAAGCAGCTCTTCATCTGCAGGGGCCCACTGAGAGCTTTGGGTTCGGCGAAGAGCCATAGACTTGCTGTTGGCTGTGAGGCTAAACCATGCCACACGCAGCCCCGGCAATCGTTCAATCAGGGATACGACAGCCTTCTTCAAAGCCCATGGTCCTTGTCGGAAGACAATTGCATAGGGAGTGCCCCTACAAAATTTGCCAACCTCCTTGGCTGGTAACGAGTTCTCAAAGTGCAAGATCTTCAGCGCTTGGAAAGTCCCATCCTCCATGTTGCGAACAACAAGACCCAAACGACATCCTGGAGGTAACTGGCACGGAGGCCGGATGCTCTGAGGCAAGCGCTGTGAATCAGGCTTGCGCGCCCACTCGCCCAGTTGACTGGCGGCTGCAAACTCTGGAACCGACATCTAACATCAAGGAGCCAAGCTGTAGTCTTCACGCCAAGCAGATGGCGACAAGCAGCTGCAAGAAAGGTGGCTAAAGAAATGGGCGCTTCAATGCTATTCCCCTCCTTGGCGATGCGTGTGGGTGTAGTCAAAACCTGCAAAGTCCAATCCTTACTTCCATATACTTGCTCAAAGCAGCGTCCAAAAGAGCTGATTCAGTCGCCATTGAGTGAAAGAAGAGACTACTATTATGAGAATCTTACAGCCACAGACTGGGGGTGGACAAAACATTTATTTTTTCATTTCGTTTTCGTTTTCATCATCATTTTTTTCATGCCCATTTGTGTCTTTTTTTCATGTAAATGTGTGTTTTCGTTTGCATCATCATCTTTTTTACACGCCCACCGGTGCTTTTTCATGCGTGATTGCGTTTATCGTTTGCGTCCCCTGAAGCCAAGGCTGCCAAGTCACTTACTCCTGAACCCTCTTTGCTACCCGCTGCTACCCTGGTCGGCTAGTCACTTTCTTCTATTTTGCTTTAGCTGTTGTGAAATGTACTTAAACTGTCGTTCACG